GTGTGTGTGTGTGTGTGTGTGTGTGTGTGTGTGTGTGTGTGTGTGTGCATGCCTGTGTAGGTGCATCCACAGGTATGAAAGTTGGAGGACTATTTACAGGAGTTGGTTCTCTCTACCTTATGGGTCCCGGGATTTAAATTCAGGCGTGGTGGCAGGTCCCTTTACTTGACAGCCCCAAAGGACATTTAAACTCAAAAGGCAGAATGAGTAAGGCTAGTGTGAAAGTTTCCCCCACACACGTTGAGCTGACACATTGGCATTCCCGAAACTGAAACTTGTAAGCTGGTGTCCGGATAGGAACAGAAGGCAGAGATCAGAAGAGCTTCCCCGTGGGTTGTGTGGGAGACCAGGGTATCATTGCTGCATTATGGTGTGAGCGGTGGTTGATCTGTTAACAGCGTGATGGTGTGAGCAGTGGATGATCTAACACTGTGATGGTGTGAGCGGTGGTTGATCTGTTAACAGCGTGATGGTGTGAGCAGTGGATGTTCTGTTAACAGCGTGATGGTGTGAACGGTGGGTGATCTGTTAACACTGTGATGGTGTGAGCAGTGGGTTTATTGACTGACAAGGGACAATGCATCAGACGCACTGAGGTGTGGGCTTTGAAGACTGAACCTTGGACTGGGACAGACTACAAACCCTTGTGCTATGGTACTTAGAGAAAAGGAAACAAGATGTACTTAAAAACATTTTATTTTTATTCTTTTGACACAAAGTATCCATAAACCAGACATTTCAAACTCTCTGTACAGTAAAGAATGACCTTGAATTTTTTTTTTCTCTTGTTTCACCTCTCACATGCCAGGATTACAGGTATGGGACACCACCCTGCCTGGTTTATGTAGGGGCTGAGAATGAAGCCCAGATCTCTGTGCATGCTGGGCAGGCACTCTCTGGACAGAGCTATACCCCCAGCCCCAGGGTGTACTTTTGATGCATCTTTAAAAAAAAAAATCCCCTTGCAAGAACTAACTTTAAAAAGCAAAGACTCCATTTTCTCTTGACTCCAGAGTCAAATGATTTACTTAAGAAATCAATCCCACAAAGGAAAAATAACCTTTTTTGAGCAATGTCATTTGGAAACCGTTCAGAAGTGCCATTTCCCTGGCGCCACAGCGAGGCTGCATTATCACAGTGCACCGTGGCCTGCATCAACTGGAAAACTTCAGTCCGTAGAACACGCTGCAAACATTTTAAAGGTTTTATGACTTTAAATGACTTCAGCAGAATTTACGCTCCCCCTTTCCTGGAAATATTAAAAAAAGAAATTGGTTCTGTAACACTCTTGACAGCCTCGTCATGTGCACTGGATGGCTTTAATGGAGGGAGCTTTTTATAAGCATTCCGCATTCATCAGCAGATGGAGAGATGATAAGACGGGAGCTGCACAATAAAACGACCCCCATGGGACCGAATGTGGACTTGGGCTCAGAGAACCTTTCTCTGTGGGCTTTGAGGCAATTCAGCAAGATTAAAAGGCTGTGTGGATACCCCCGGCCCATCATCTTTGTTTAATCTGGAAGCTTAGAGAAAATGCTGGTATTATCTCATTCCTCTGTGTGGCCTGAGAAATGAACCCCCTGGGACTCCTCGCATCCACTTTGCTGGAACGCAGCTGAGCTCCAGGCCCTGTACTGCAGGCTCCGCTGAGCGGCTTCATCAACTATCTTGAAAGGCTGAGGAGGCCCCAGAGCCTCTTTGTCAAGCGCACACTAAAGACCGCAGTAACTAGCCTTCCTTAAGCACTTTCCCCTCGTGTGCTCTCATTCGATGCTCGTGAAAACCAGGGAGGCAAGTCGGACAGCACCACCCTCACTTCTTCCAGGTTATCAAGTTTGCTGACTTCCAAGTTCCTGCTCAGTTCACTCCTTCACAAGCTGGGAGTTATAAATTCCGCTCAGGGTGAACCGTTTGCTGAGAACAGCCCCCACCAGAGAGCGGCTCTGCTCATGGCATTCACCTGATGAGGATAAAACTGGGAAGGGAGTCCTATGTCGGACTAGGACAGGACTGGCTGTGTGATGCTGGGTCAGCCCTTCAGGCTCCTTCAGCCTCAGGTACCTCATCTGGAAGGCGGCGGCTTCACAGGCAGGTGCATGTGGGGTCCCAGTCCATGTGCACACACTGTTAACAGTCTGAGACACTCGGGATCCACACGTGGGGCGACAGGCTTCTCTGCTGGACTCAGTCTGGCAGTCAGACATCTCCAGGTTCTGAAAGTCTCCTCTGCTCCTGAAACATTGAACGGCACCCTGATGATCATAGCGTCTCCTGTCCTGTTCTGTATACTGTTCCATCTAAACTGTTCTCCCAGACAGGTATTCTTGTTACATCTGCTTGCAAAAGTGGAAACTGAGGTCTAGAAAATAAGCAGCTCTAACAGCAGCTCCAGAAACACAGAGCCTCAGTGTTCACTCTCCATGCATGAGCCCCAGAATTGGTGAGAAGGTACTCTCACATCTACACTCCCTTATAGGACAACCGGAGAATAGACACACAGCATGTGTACTTCATAGCCCTAGGAAAGCCATCTGGACCAAGACACTTATCCCAAAGAGCACCTGGCTCTGCCTTGGGAATCCAGGAAAACCTTTAAAACGAATCAATAAGATTAACCGCTAACATTTATTGTTATCAATATGTGCATGTGACTAGAAATGGCACACTCCGGTAATCCGTGCATTCGAGACTGAACGGAGGATAAAGGCCTAAGCACAGTGGTCTGATGCCGTGAGTTCCATCCCCACAACTCACACTCACAAAGAAAGCTGGGATGCAGCTTCTTTGCTGCAGAGGATGAGCAGAGGATGGAGAATCCAGAAGAAACTCCTGGGCTAGCCTAGAACACAGCAGCACAGGAGGGACAAGCGGGGGGGTGAGACCCCACTCCTGAAGTGTGTCCCCCAACCTTCATGTGACTAATTGGCATGTGCTGGTGTGTGTGCTGTGCTGTGGTGTGTGTGTGTGTGTGTGTGTGTGTGTGAGAGAGAGAGAGAGAGAGAGAGAGAGAGAGCAGAGAACAGAGACACAGAGACACAGAGAGTATGAGTGAGCACTCATACACACACAGGCAAAATAAAAAGATAAGTAATGTTTTTAAAGACACTGAAACAAGAGGATCTAGAGTTTGAAGTTAGCCCAGGATATATAACCAGGCCAACCTCAGCTACAAACAGGAAGCTGTCTCAAAGGTATGCATGTGCGTGCCTGACTGTGTGTACACGCTTTTTTGAGCTCTTAGCATATGTAAAACCATTTTATCCACACAGCAAACATGAGAAGTAAGTATTTTTACAAAGCCAAAGACCTAACTGCCTTGTCCAGGGTCACTCAGCTCTCGGTGGAGGATGACGGGGAGTCGGGTGTCCTGGCTCCAAAGCTACAGTCAAACAAACCACACTGTGTTTCTCAGACTCAGGGAAGCAGTTCTGTGGGCAGAGCTGTGTAGGGAGGGTGAGCACCACGCTCCAAGCAAAGAATGATGTTATTTTAAGTTTGTTTCTGTTTTATTTTTTTAAAAAAAAAATACAAAAATCAGTCCTGGTTCTTCAGCTGATTTCACTGCCCCACTAAGGGGCCATGACTCACAGTTGGGAAGAGGTAATGAAGGGCCAGGCTTGAGGAACGGCGGCTACTGTGTGCCCATGAGGGAACAGACTGTTGGAGGGAGTGCTAATGGCACCTTCCGGCCGGCAACGGCAGAGGCAGACTGCCCAGATGTACTCAGGGCAGGGGTCTCCTGCAGTGGCATTGCTGAGGCGCTGAAGTCAAGACTGTTCTGAGTAAGAATACCAGCGCTGGCTCTGGCTCTATGGCCTTGAACTTGGGCACAGCAACAACTTTGGACCTGTGGGCAGCGACTTCCCACCACAGCCACAGCGCGGGGAATCACGAGAGCACACTCTTAGGCCACCCTGAAGCCCACCAAAAAGACTTAGAGACCAGAGTCCTGTAAATCAAGGTCCTTTGTACAAACTGACCAAACCCCACATGTCCTGGCATCCATTTCTGCTGCCCAGGCGCAGAAAACACTGGCCAACTGTCAAAGCTGAAAACCCCAAGTCTGCCTTCCGCAATCGGGTGACTCAGTGCAATTTGAACAGGGCTTTTAAATAATCTACTGGTGTCTGTTTTATCAGCCACAGCATGGCTGTCCCTTCCCTAACAACTCTGTCCCACTCAGATACAACTTAAGGCCCTGAGGGTGTTCTGAAGGCATAGCCTTCATCAACAGGTCTGGGCAAAGTCTACACCGATTTCAGCCCTTGGAGGCCCTGTTGGGAAGGAGAAGGAAGCCTGTGTAGATGCTGCCTTATGTATTCAGTAACTGTTCCTGCTGGAGCAGAACGCTCACCTGATCACTCACACATTTTAAATAAATACTTGTCTCAAGCCTGCTGGGTGTGGTGGTGCACATTTATCAGCCCAGCCCTCAGGAGGCTAAGGCAGGAGGATGGTGACCGCTAGGCCAGTCCAAGCCACATAGCAAAACTTTAGATAAGTCAAAATAAACAACCCCACCTCAAAATTTTAGCTGCTTGTATTTCCTTTCTTTTTTCTTTTCTCTTTCTTCTTTCCTTCAGACAGAACCTCACTATGTAGGTTGGGCTTGTAAGTAACACATCTAACTGCCTCTGTCTTCTGAATGCTGGAATTAAAGACATGACCCACTATGCCTGGATGGGTTCATATTTTAATATATATATATATATTTTTTATATGAACCCATAATATATATATTATATGTGTGTATATATATACATATTATATTTATATTCATTCCCATGGTCTAGGGATATGGTTCAGTTAACAGAGTGCTTTCTTGGCCCTGTATTACATCTGTAGTACTGTATAAAACCAGGCCTACAGCCCATAATCCCAACACTCAATAAACAGAGGCAGGAGATCAGGAGACTCAAGGTCAGCCTTGACTATAATCCAATTCTGGACACCACATAATAGATAAATGAACACATAAATTTAAAAATCCAAGCCAGGTAGTGGCTTTAATCCCAGAATTTGGGAGGCAGAGGCAGGAAGATTTTTGAGTTCAAGGCCAGCCTAGTCTGCAAAGAGAATTCCAAGACAGGACTACACAAAGAAACCCTGTCTTGAAAACCCAAAATAAGTAAATAAATAAATAAAAATAAAATAAATAAAAACTAGTCCTGATACTGATTTAAGACCAGTGATTTGTTCTCTCCTCTGAATAAAAAACTTTGATTAAATTTAAACCTGGTACTTTCTGTGGAATGGTACTAATGGGCCCACATAGTTCTGCAGCTCTGTGACAGAGGCGGGGTACCGCTTCCTCCTTAACAGCACAGCGCAGGCCTGTCTTAGAGACGAGAAGGCGCAAGGCCCAGATGCACACAGAGGCACTCAGGACTCGGCCACAGGATTCCACAGATGTACAATTTTTATTCTGTTCAGTAAAAATGTTTGGGATTCTTTTGGTTGAAAGTGACAGAAATTCAACTTGTGTTGGGTCTAGCGGCTAATCTAAGCTGGGAGCCAATCCTGGAGAATAACGGCATGCCTTCTGGGGGGTGTGTTTAAACATGCTCAGCACAGCATTGTAAAAGTGAAAGACGAGAAACCTCCCCATGCTGACCAACAGGTAAATGTCTAAGTAAAATGAGAAATGGCCATGGGGCCAATGCATAAAGCAAGCAGAGTCCGGCTAGAGCCAGCTGGTTTGATTGCAATCGCAAAGGTTATGTTGGAGCTCACATGGGAGATGAAATCTAGGCCAGTTGTTGAATTCAATTGTCCAAGGTGATTTTGCTCTGAGAAGTTACCGAAACACTGAATAATAAATATGGAATTATTTCTCTTATGCAACGTACAGGCAGGATTGGTTGCGGTGTGCCTCTGGTCACATGACATTTTTGTCAGCTGGTTCATATATAATCTATTTAGAGACAACAAATTTAACGCTATAGTTGACTCACTAACCTTGAGCTCACGGCCAGCAATGACCCTGACGCATTCTTATTGCAGGATACTTGATCACTCTGTGAACCCTGAGATTGCTTTATTTACTGGAAAAACCTCTTTCTAGTTGTGGTGTGACTCAGCCCTAGCACACACCTTTAATCCAAGAGCTTTCTGCTTGAATATTGTAAACAGGATTAAATAGAGTCAACCATCGGTCAAGAGGTGGAGCAAGCAACCAGTTAACAGGAAGATCATTAAGAAAAAAAAAACCATAAAGCGGGTGTCAGGAGGATGGCTAGAGAGACGCACAGGAAGTAGAAGTGCGGGGGACATTGAGTTTCAAGAGACTCTTGCTGAGACAGTAGGAGGGAGAGGAGGTTTGAGGGTGACAGAGGAGGATGAACAGCTGGATGCTTTCATTGCCTCTCCCAGCTATCCGGCTTTCATCCCAGCGTTTTGCTCCTGAGTCTTCATTGGTAAAACTGAATGACTGAAACTTTGTTTAAAACAGTGCATTCTAGATTGAAATATTTTAATATATTCATTTTCCCAAAAGGGCATATCATAGCTTTTTTTGTACTTGGTCGTTTCAAACAGGAAAATTACCCACAAAACCCACAAAAACGTAAAAAGTTCACTGCTGCCTGGAATATGAGAACCATTTGTTATGAAGCAACGCTACCTTATCCAGCCCAGCCAAGGCTGTCCAAATCAGGGGACATACAGTTGTCACTTCCCGGCACTCAGTGGATGCTCTAGAAAGAGCTACATTGATCTGGGGTTAAAGGGACCCTTCAGTAATAGGCAAATTCACAGATACGGAATCTGTGAATAATGAGGGTCAAGTTATATGGCCTCTCATGTTAATGTCTTTGAAATTAAAGCACATTTTGGATTCTGTAAAAATACAGCCATTGAGTCAACACAGATAGAATTTGTGATTTAATGTTGACTGAAAACCCAAGTCAATAGCTAGAGATAGAAGTGTATATGATGTTCCTAAATATGTGAAATAAAACGCAGTTAGCAGTACTGGCTGTTCTTCCAGAGGACACCATGGCAGTTCCCAACCATCTATAACTCCAGTTCTAGAGGATTAGACACCCTCTTCTGGCCTCCTCAGGCATCAGGCACACATGTGGTACACAGACATGCATGTCTGCAAAACACTCATATGCATAGAATAAAAGACATCCATAAAACCCCATCCTGATACTTTTCCTTTGCTATGAAATGGTTAATAGGTATTAAATATTCCCCAGGCAATGGTTAATAGATATTAAGTATTCCCCAGGCACTGAGCACTGTGCTGGCCACTTTAAGGTAGTTCAGTTAACCCTCACAAGATCCTTAGGAGGTTGATGCGATGTTTATCTTTATTTAATATAAAGAGATTAAAATTTTCTCAGGGTCACGAAAAGGTCACCCATTTCTGCCTGTAGTAAAAAAAAATTGAATTTAGCCTACAGCTTCCCTTATGTGATTTGTATCCTAACAGGAGCTAAAACACAGCCCATAGCTCAGAACAGTATGTTCTAAATTACACTGCTATAAAAGTCTCATTCCCCTAGCTCATATATTGCTGTCTTAGAGTTTCTATTGTTGTGGTAAAACACCATGACCAAAGCAGGTTACAACTCTTGGGTCAAGATCCGTCTCTGAGGGAAGGCAGGACAGGAACCTGGAGGCAGAACCGGAAGCAGGGGCCATGAAGAATGCTGTTTACTGGCTTGCTCCTTATGGCTCTGCTGGCCTGCCTGCCTTCCTTCCTTCCTTCCTTCCTTCCTTCCTTCCTTCCTTCCTCCCTCTCTCCTTCCCTCCCTTCTTCCCTCCCTCCCTCAGAGATGAGCCCTCAGATCACTCAGCCATAAGAAAATACTCCACAGGTCAATCTGGTGGGGAGCATTTTCTCAGCTGAGGTTCACTCTTCCCAAGTGACCCTAGTGTGTGTCACGTTAACATAACTAGGCAGCACACTTGGCCATGACATTTCTTCCTTAGATGCAAAGAGATGTATATTAGAGGTGTGTGTAGCTGAGATGGACTGCTATCTACTCCCTACCTACCAGCTAAACACAGGACTGCTCCCCAAATAAATAAATAAAGTTCCCTTTATTGTATAAGCTTGAGAAAGTTATTTTCTCATTTGGACTTCTTTTGTTTATGAGAACACTTACATAATGTGTTCTGTTAACACCAATTGCCTGTTCATTTTAAATATGCTCAAGTTAAAGTAGATTGATAAAAGTCACAAATGGCGATGTTAACAAACAAGAACTGCATGAGCTCCAGGAAGACTTCCACAAGAATCTCTGTGTCTGAGCTTAGGTACTTTAAGAAACTAAATGCAGAAATATTTAAAATTAAAACACAGTTACCTTGGCATTATGGAGCATTTAAATGCATTGTTATTCCAAGTTTTCTTTATACTTAATATGGATTTAAAAGTACATCATTCTTAGGATTTGTGATCTTGGGAGATTGTGGGTTCTTTAATACATCTTTATTTATTCAGTAGCTTTCCCTTACCCCCTCCACTTTTGCCTATTCAAGGTTCCATGTTACATTCTGGAATCAGAATTTTGATGTTTCTGCTGTCAAATGGTGTTATTAAATTGAACATGAGTGCTGGAGAGATGGCTCAGAGGTTAAGAGCACTGGCTGCTCTTCCAGAGGTCCTGAGTTCGATTCCCAGCAACCACATGGTGACTCACAACCATCTGTAATGAGATCAGATGCCCTCTTCTGGCCTGCAGCATACATGCAGGCAGAATACTCTATACGTAATAAGTAAATAAATCTTTAAAAAAAAATTGAACCTGAAATTTCTGTATTCGTAGGCCCAAAACCAAACAGATATCAGTGATTTCATATAGCTCGGCTATTCCCCTTTCAGCCAGCATGGTCCTTTATTTGTTGCTGACACATTTATCAGGACCTGTTTTGTCATCCTGAGACAGTGACCCTCCCTGCTGACAGGGACTGCAGTTTGCTTCTCTTGGATTCAGCCCTCTTCTTCACAGGCTCCCAGTGCACATTTGCTGGATGGCACGAAGCCAAGGGAAGGTGTCTCTGTTCACTTTCTTCATCCTCTTTTGCAGTGGTCCACATGTGCAGCGTCTTGGAACACAACTGTGCCCACTTCTGCATCAACACGCCTGGCTCGTACAACTGCAGGTGCAAGCAAGGGTACATTCTCAACGCGGACCAGAAGACTTGCAGAAGTAAGGCCGCTTGGCGGATGTGTCAGTATTGCTTGCTCTTTAGCTAGGTGCGTCGTATTCACCCACAGTTCCACCTCCTCAAGGCAAGTAGCAGCTTGTGTATTTTCTGGGAGTTCCCCCCACCCTACTGTCACAGTGCCTAAGCCCGGTGCAGAGCAGGCTGCCGGGCAGCGTGTGAAAGGTTGGAACATACTGTCTCAGAATAGTCTTTCACGTCTGTGCTGCCTCTTAGTGGAAGCTGGCCAAGTGTCTTTCCGTCCTGGCTTTATTAGCTGGGCCCTAAGGAGCTGTTTCTCTCTTTTATCTTCTTCCCAAAGCATGGACTTAAGATGTGATTAACCTCAGCTGGGAGTGATTTTGCACACTCGTTTTAGAGGTGTGCAGGATCGAGCTGCTTCAGTGATAGACATTTTATTGTTCTCCTAATTTAAAAAGGGACAGATACAAAGAATTTATATTGTTCTTCTCTGGCCTGACTCCCGAAACTAGACAATACAATTGAAGCAAGCAGGAGGTACCCTAGCTCTTCAAGGATAGAATTAACCATACAATGAGTGTATGCCCTTTATTATTATAATTATTATTCTCCCTACGTTGTATGTGTAGCCACTGCTTTAACCACAAAGCCTGGGCCAGGCACACGAGGCCTGAGAAGATTGGCTGCAAGGGAGCAAGCAGCTCCGTTAGGTCTGACGTGTAGTTCCTGCAATGCAGAATTGTTATTAGACCACATGGCACGCTATCAAGCACTAATGGAAAGCAGTTTGCACAAATGGCTGTAATTAGCGCTGCATTTATAAAGCCAAACCACAGTTTCCACTTCCCTTCTCGCTTCTTAGCTTCAACACTGAGGGGTTGATGGGAGGACCTCCCTGTCCTCCAATATTAGGTCCTATCTGCTTGGCTCTCTGTTCTGGGTCCCCGAAAGCTCGTAGGCTCCTCTGGGGTCCCAGGACTCAGCTGGAGCCGCCACCATGTTTCACTGGAAACCTCTGACACTTCCTCAGGTTCCACAGCAAAACTCTGTCACAGCAAATTCTCATGGGTTTAATAAAATCTACTGACGAGCAGGGGAACCTGGGAAGGGTCATCTAGAATCATCCCACACTGTTCGGCAGACAACTTGGACATCTCTTGGTCACCTTGTCCTCTTCAGGTGCAGACACCTTGCCCACTCCCTCCCTCCCTTCCCCTCCCCTCTTTGAGGAGCACAAAACATTCTGTGTCTCATGACCCAAACTTGAAGGGGATCTGGGAAGCTGCAGTGCCTGGGAACCCAGGGCTGGCTTAAATATGCCAGATGAACTCTGACACCAATTGTGGTGGTTTGAAGGAACATGGCCCCCCAAAGGGAGTGGCACCATTAGGAGGTGTGGCCTTGCTGGAGGAAGTGTGTCATTGTAGTGGCAGCTTTGAGGTCTCTTGCTCAAGCTTCCCTCAGCGTGACTTTCAGTTGTCTTCCTGTTGCCTGCAAGATGTAGTACTCTCAGCTCCAGCACCACCTCTGCCTACATGCTGCCATGCTCCCCTTCGTGATGATAATGGACTGAACCTCCGAATCTGTAAGTGAGTCACCCCAATTAAATGTGTTCTTTATAAGAGTATGCCATGGTCATGGTGTCTCTTCACTGCAATAAAAACCTTAACTAAGATACCAATAGGTAGTTAGGTAGGTAAGTGGATGGATGGATGGATGGATGGATAGATGGATGGAGATAGATAAAGATAGATAGATTATAAGATGGATAGATAAAGATAGATGATAGAGAAGATAGATGATGGAGAGATAGATAGAGATAGAGATGATAGAGATAGATGATAGATTTGTAGATGAGAGAGAGAGAGAGAGAGAGAGAGAGAGAAAGCTGAAGAGCTCTCCTTTCTCAGTCCTGCCTTGGCCGTTGTAGGTCCCGATGTCCTCACCTTGCCTAGCCTTAGGGAAAAAGGAAGGCTCTGAAGTCGACCTTTGCTAGGGCTGCGGCATCTAAGAACTTGAAGCAGGAACTCCCTGGGCTTTACACAGATGCTTAGGAGAAGGAGCAGGGACATCCCAGGTAAAGGAGGGACAGGAGCTTCAGGAGTGATTCAGAAAGCAACTCCCAGAGTCCTCAGAGATTCCGACTCTGCGAATCTTATTTATTTATTTATTTATTTATTTATTTATTTATTTATTTATTTATTTTTGTTGTTGCTGTTTAAGACAGGGGTCTCTGTGTAACAGCCCTGGCTGCCCTGGAACCCACTCTATAAACCATGGGTTGGGATTAAAGGTGTGTGCCACCACTGCCTGGCTCTCTTGGTTCTTTTTTTACAAAATGATTTATTTATCTTATTTTTGTGTATGGGTGTTTTACCTACATTAATGTCTGGGCGCCATGTGCATGCAATGTCCACGAAGGCCAGAAGAGGGAGTCAGATCCTCTGGAACTGAAATTCCAGATGGTTGTGAGCTGCCATGTGGGTTCTGAGAACCAAACTTGAGTCCCCTGCAAGAACAAGTGCTCTTAATGCTGAGCCGTCTCTTCAGCTTCTTCTTCCTCCTCCCCTTCCTGCTCCTCTTCCCCCCAAAAAATCTGTTATTTGTAATAATTGGTATATCTGTGCCATAGAGGTCAAAGGTATTATTCCAATGAGCAGGTGATTGTGAGTTACCTGATATGGGTGCTGGGAAGTGAATGCAGGTCTTCTTACCCTCTAAATGATCTCTCCAGCCTCTTTTCTGAAACATGGTTTCACTCCATGAGTGAAGCTAGAACTCTCCATCCTCCTGAGCACTAGAATTACAGGTTTGCATCAATTTGTCTGGCTTCAGGTCTAAAGTTTCAGAGAGCTTCTGCCCTATTGCTCTTGCCCCTCAAGGTCCCAAAACCTTGGGCAGTGAGGGCCTGGAAAAGTGGGGGAGCTGATGTGTGACTCAGTGTAGCGCCTGCACTACGGGACAGTTGGCGAGCCAGGAAAGAGGCAGGAGATTTAAGCATACACACACAGAGACACAGGGACACGGGTCATCCTTGAAACAAGAATGCCAACTTTATTGTGCTCCGGGGAAGTTTATATAGGGATCCTTAACTGATAGTCACGCCCCAGCTCTTGGGATTTTCAGCTGTAAAACCCACCAGAACCCACTCTCCTGCCATCAGGAACTCGTGAGTGTCTCATGCTCCGAGCAGTTGCAAGCACAGGCAAACAAGTTGTTTACTTCATTCACTCCAGCAGGCAAAGGGTCTGAGGCAGGCAAAGAAAGTCGAGGGGCCCCAGGGTCTGCAGCCCCCAACAGCTCAGCCTTGTCCTCTGCCCAGGCCAGTTGCCCTAATGTTGTTACCAGTCCTTCAGTGGCAGAGGTAAATGCTTACATTTGGTCTTGTCAGAAGCAGATCTAGCTCACTCAACTGCATTTCTGAAATGGGGCTCATGAGACAAACAGGGACCCGGACATTGTCATCTTCTGGCTGTGACTGCCTCAACCCCACCTGCTTATTCAAACTCCTTGACACTCAGTTTCCTCACTTACTGAGTGGAACCAATGGTCAGAAGTTAGAACTTACCTTTTTGATAGATTGGTGTTCGCTCCTGTGCTTGGTCTCAAAGCTGTGCTAGGGCAAAGCTGAGCACCAGTGACTTGTTTACAGGCTGCCTCTCTGCGGACACCAGCACAACTTGCCCAGGCCTGGAGGGAAATGAGAAACAGCTATGTTCCATTTTTACTATCCTGTCCTGAATGTAGCTGGATAATCTCCCAGTTAAAAAGGAGCGGGGATTATGGCTCGTTCCTGAAGCATCTCATGTTCTCTCAGAAGTGCTTTCTGCTCACTCTTCCGTGTGCTCACCTGTGGGTCCAGTTGTCTTTTTTGTCTTGGTCACAAGTGTTTGAACAAAGACACTTACTACGTTGCATACAAAGTACTAGAAATCAAACCAAGGTGAAAGAACAATACTGCTTCTGTTTGGAGCTTCCTCTCTTACTGGGAGAGAATCGCACACTGTACTTGCACCCGACATCCAATGCAGACATTGCCTGGCTCAGTGCTTTGGATAGGAGGCCAAATCTAACCCTTGCCACGCTTCAAGTGTTTGACGAGCGCCAGGAGTTCCCTGTGAGCCTTGTCTCTTGCCTTGTGCAATTGTCACAATGAGTTCTGAAGTAGGCTTCATCGCTGCCATCTTACAGATAAGGAAAACAAGGGACAAAAACATTAGATGGTTTAGGAAATGTGGCCAAACACAAATCCAAATGGTATGCTCAGCTCTTAGCCACTGTGTGGTGTTCCATGTTCCTTGAGAGGCCCCAGAGGGCTGCAAGCAGAGACTCCCCAAGCCCAGGGCTGACAGGACTCATGACCTGATAATTGGGAGGAGGCTCAGAACTAACTAACATCCCATTGACTGTGTGACTGTCAATACATAAAATGTGGGCAGGTCCCTGAAGCTGCCTTCCCACACATACACACATTACAGATAGACTTGTAAAGTATACTTTCCACACAACTTTCTATTTAGACTCTGCTTTTGTGGAGAGAGGAGATGGGCACATTTGATCCATAGATTCTCAGAGCGGTCACAGACATTGGTCTCAAACTCAAAGCTCCCTCTGCTATGCAACCCCAGAATTCTATCCCTGTAGCAGGCTTTTTTGGACCGCCAACCCCCAAATCATGACATGGAGACTTATTATTACGAATGTTTGGCACTAGCTTAGGGTTGTTTCCAGCTAGTTTTTTTTTCTTTAACTTAAACTAACCTATTTCTATTCATCCGTGTGCTGCCCCAGGCTTGTTCACCTTACCTAAGTACTGCCTGTCTATCTTGTCTGGCTGGCCCCTGCCTGGCTGCTTCCTGGTGTCTCTTTTTCTCTCTCCCCTGAGCCTAAATTCCCCCTCCTACTTATTCTCCTTGCCTGGATAGTCCACCTATACCTCCTCTGCCTAGCTACTGATTGTTCGGCTTTTTATTAGACCAATCAGGTGCCTTAGGCAGGCAAGGGAAAACAGCAATACATCTTT